CTTGGTTACCTAAATGTCTAACAAGAATAAAGCAGAGCTCTCTTACAGGGGTACTGTCAGGAGAAATGTATTAAAGGTTGAGGCACTGAAATACCAGTAACAGGAGCTATATGTGTCTTATAGATGTATAGTATTCTGTCAGTGCTTCTAGGATACAAGTCACTGTCACAGCGGGGATAAAATATAGAAGCCCTGCCTATATCTTGTTCTAGGCAGTGGGTTACACTCCCTTTTCATTCGTTGCTTAAGATTCATTGTGGTTTTTATACGAAAAGTCATAATTTTCACTATAGGATTATAATACTTTGGCATCATTATCCCAAAAGGTATTTTTCACTAGCTAGGATTGTATTTCACTGAAAGAGCAAAAATCTTAGTGATCCTTGCCATCTAAGTTTTATAGCTTTTTATTTTGTATCACTGTTTCTCAGCCTTCTTGGGTTATAGTTGCTTCTAGCATTTCAGCATATTTTCCATAGTTGTAGCAGTCAAGTAGTTGTAACAGCCTAATTCATTTGCCTAAGAAATAGTTCAATAAAAAAGGTTTCCTGATAACAAATTAGAGTAATTACTGCGCAGCTGCTCAGTGTTGGTTTCCCTTATCATGGCATTCTTGTATTTGCTTTACTCTCTACATGTTGGTTCAGACTTCTGAAACACTGAATGCATCTACACATGCATTTACTCCAGCCTAGATTTACTCTGATGGAAACTAAGCTGGAGTAAGGGTTTTTAGGCAAGCATCTACCCATACGGAGATTTGGGAGAAGATTTACACCCAGTTCCCTGCAGCCCTGCAATGGGCCTCTGCTGTCAACGGGGGGAGCTCCAGGGTCCCACTGGGAGTTAGCTCAGGGGCTGGTAGGGAGCACCAGGCCAAGAAACATGGGGCTTGGAAAAAAGCTGCAGGGGAGGGACAGGCCCCAGCCCCCTGCCCCAATCCACCAGTGGGGCAGCTAGTTTTCTGCTAGCTTCCCCACTGGCAGATCGGGACAGGGCACTGGGACCTACCCCACCCCTGCAGCTCTTTCCAAGCCCCGTGCCTTGATCACCCAAGCAGAGGTCTTGCATCTCCCTGTTGCCGGGGCAGTGGGACATAGTCCTTAGCCACGCTTCTGTGGCAGAGCTGCCCCACCAGCAGCAGGCAGCTTCTGGAGGTAGGGAGCTATCTCCTGCCCCCTGGTAGATGGCTGCCCAGGAGCAGATTTTGCTTTCAGCCAAGCATCTACACAAGTGCTATAGTGCAGTTACTAATCCCAAGTAAATTTGCTACTTGGATTTGCAGGAAGTAAATTTACTTGGGTTTAGGGAGGTTTACTGCAAAGTAAGTATGTGCACATTTAGATGCACATGCTTACTTTGCAGTAAACTATGCTAATGCAAAGTTAAGCATCTCATGTAGATGTGCCCACTGTAGATTAAATAAGATTCAAATATCTTTGTCACCTGTTTAAGGCAACTGTGATTTCTGTAAATATCTAAGGAAAACATATAGCTTGACATCTTGGCTAAGTACAGACAGTCAAAAAGGCCAAGGCTGAATCAGTTCAATCTTTGCAGATTGATTTAAACTGCATAGATTGAACCAATAAGCAAGTGAACAGACATTCACTTTTGATTCCAGAAATGCAGTCACATACCTGCAGTGGCCCAAGCCAGAATTTGGGGTTGCTTGAACATGCATATCTTCTCAGTTGGAATAGACAGCTTGGGCCAAGGCTAGCCCACTCACCCCGCAAGGGAGAGAGGGGGTGTATGGGCAGGTGCAAAGCGTCCTGGGATGCTTGGGGACTGTCAGTTAACTTGAATCTGGAGGTGATCTGGGACAGAAGTTCAATAAACCAATTTGATCTAAATCAGTTAAGTCTGATACTACATCCAGCCAGGTTTATCTTCAACCAGTTTTGGCCATTTTGAAAGTGGTTTATGTGCACTGAACTTATGTTGTGTTACAGATTTAAACTGGTTTCTGATCACTTATACTAGTTTATATGTAATTTCTGTCCCTAGTCCTTGTGCCGAATGAAATCAGTGGGAGTTTAGCTATTACTTCATTGAAGCCAGGATTTCATTTATGCCATGAGATTCTAATGAAATATATAAACCTAATGATAATGTAATGTATGCTAATATGCAAAGGGCATGTTTCACCACAGTGGATATATCAACATGTGCCCTTAAAGCTATGTGATAAACTCTGGCACAGTTTGTGCTGGAGTCAGCTGCACATGCACCAGTTTGATCTGGGGCAGAGCAACCCCAGGCTGGCAGGAAGTCTGGGGGGTCAGACCCTGGCTCTGCGGGGTCTGAGCCTGGCATTGGAACTGGCTGGGGCTGAGGGTGCTAAAATGTGGGGCTAGGTGGCAGACAGACCCCACATTTTAGCACACTTGTACCCCAGTCAGCCCCTGTCACTGTCTACATATGCATTTCAGTGCATGTAATTACTCCTCCTTAGGAAGGTAGTGTTCCTGAGAGTACCATCCTACAGTGGAATTAATACATTTACTGCGCACTAATAGTAGCTCGTGTAGATAGTGACACTTTACTGCAGAGCTAATTAGTCAACTCCGTAATAAAGCGCATGTGTAGATGCACCCAGTATGTGCTAAATGGACCAGTACAAAGGCCTGGGTGTCAGTGCCACCTCTTTTGTGAGACATAATGGTAGTGTATTGCTAAATGTACAGGCTTTATACCTATCCATTTCCCCATGCTGCATTGAAAAAACAGTTTTAGGAGCTTCTTTTTTGCCACATGATATTCTTATTGGCATGGGAGAGAAACACCTGCAATGGAGAGTTCCATCAAGTTTATCTCACCTCAGATGTGAGAGAAGTGAAAATTTCAGAATCCTATAAATGCTAGAGAAAGTGGTCTAACCAGTGTTAATAATGGAAGTGATTTTGGTTGTATAATGCAATTTTTTCCCCAAAAAATGTTAGCATTTCATTTCTGAATGCAGTGCTTCTAATGCAGCATGTCTTTAGAGTCCTCCATGTTGCAGAGTGTGAAAATTAACATGATTTTTTTATTGTGGTCCTTCCCCCCAAACCGTTTTATTGCTCCTAAGAAAACAGTTGCATTGCAATGGAAAATCTATTCTTGGATATCTGTTAAGATCTAGCAAAATGTGGCTTTATAACTTTTCTCAACTAAGCTTTTGCCTTTCCTAAAAAGACTGTTGGCTGACAAATTTACAGCAATCTGTTCTGTATATAGATTTTAAGTTTGGTAACTAATGGCTAAAGCATGAAGGGAAAAATCTGTTCTATTTACTGGAGAATTTACAAGTACCACCTCCCTACATATCATTTATTTTCCCTTCTTTCTCTTTTCTTCCATTAAGTTATTCCCTAAATGCAATGATAGTACCTTGTTACTAAGAGAATTGCATGCAATAGGTGTTGGATGGGTCTTTCTATTGCTGTGGAATCCAGCTGAGTTTTTAAAAAAACTGATTAAGTTGTCATTCTTTTCCTGTTTCATTTTCTTTTACTGAAGTTGTTCAAAACCTAAATCTAAATAGATATCACGTTGACAAAATTTGTAGTGGTTTTCATTAGCCTCAACTGTCAGTTACAAGATCCACAGCTTTGTTGGCAGTTCCTCTGTGACTCTTTTCCCTCAGCATCACAGCAGTATTATTTTTCCCTAAATGTGTCCCAGTGTTTAACAAATGGGTAGAAAGCCTGATTTTGAAGGCAGTTACATGTTGCATCCAGGCCATTATCTTTTGGTGAGATGTGGTGTGGAATTTTGTTTAATGTTTTTAGGTACTCCATGTAATCTTCAGAGAAGCACTGCATATTTGACTGTTATTTACTCCACTGTTGATAAAACTACCTAATAATTGCAGATCCCATGGGATTTTCTATTTGACATGCTGTAGATTTGATGCAGCGAAGTAAAGTTCAAGTTTTACAGTGTGATGTTCTATGTTCTAGGAATGTTTACAAGGATTACCGTTTCCTTGAGCTAGCCTGCGACTCCCAGGAGGAGGTGGATAGCTGGAAGGCATCTCTGCTGCGGGCTGGTGTCTACCCAGATAAATCCTCAGTAAGTCAAACAGCTTGCTAGTTTTTTCAGTAGCTGCACTAGCTAGGACTTGGAAAAATCTCTCTCTCTCTCTCTTTCTCTTTCTCATTTTTCTGGGAAGAGATTTAGTTTTAAGCTCTGTCTGTAGATGTCTAGAAATATTATGTATTTTTGCATTGCTATAATTGAGTTCACATCTGTGGCTTTTTTTAAAGGTTCATCATCAAATAAATTATTGTAAAATTACATTCTGAGTCCAGTCAAGTGACAAATAAACCCCCTGGCTAGAAGAGAAATAATTTTATTACTTAAAAAAAAAGAATCCTTAAAGACCTGAATAATAGAAATGATGCTCTGTTTTGGGTGCTTCCTCAACTTCACCAAATCTATTCATATTTTTTTGAGATAAAGTATGGTTTGAAGCATGTATTTTTGCATATTCCTATTCTAGAACTGAAGGAGGCATACCAGTCTATCATGTGATTTTTATTTCACTGCTTCACCGTCTGTTTCAGTATCTGAGGCAAATACCAACTAAGCCTTTCATGTACAGCTTTAATAAGATTATGAAAAATATTAAACCAAAAAAATCATATCAATTTGATACACAATATAGAAAGCTGGGAAATGAGTTTGTCAAACTGCCCTTTCACATTTTAATGGCCTCTCTCTCTTTTGCTGTTATTATTTATACATAGTTCTGGCAGGGTTTGGTCCAGTTTCTAAGGTGACCTCATTGCATGAGTCTGTGTAAGCTTCTAGTTCACTAAGTTTCTGGTTTCACTGGAGCCATGCTAGTACAGATTCCAATACGAGTGCAGAGTCCTGGTACAGGATGCCATTGTTGGTTAAAGAACATGCCTATTTTATTTTACAAATTTGATTTCCTTTATAAAAGGCCTGTAGTATCTAGGACAGATCTATAGTAGCCCCTAGTTCCCCCTACCATGATAAAATTTCCAGAGGACTGGGTCAGTGGGAGAATTTTCTCCCTTTCTTTTTATATGTTTAGTATGCTTTCAAACTGTGATACTTGGCAGTTTTGCAGAAAAGATCTATGTTATTTTTCTGCCTTTTTCTAGTATTTGTAACACCTCCCAATTTGGTATTAACTACATGTTTAGGGGAAGGACAGAGGGACTTTGGTATCTAGTAAGGGTATACAAAACAGGCCATATTTGATTCAGATTCGACCTGAACCGGGGACAGTGATTCAATTAGTTGATTCAGATCACTGTCCTGATTCGATCTGACCAAATCTGAAGATTTGATGCTGATTCAGAGAATCAGCAATTCGGACATAGACATAGCTTTAAATGTTTTTTCTACATACCTCTAAGTACCAGGCATGGCTCATGAATGCTGCAGTGGTGGGGTGGATGGAGCGTCCCACAGGAGCGCAGGGTCCTCCCTCACCCCCCACCCTTTCGGTCCACTTCCGGGTCTACCACCAAATGTGCAGGGGACCCCCCCTGCATTCCCCTGGCTTGGCAATCAGCCGTGGGGGGACCCCAGGTGCCCCCTCCAAACCCAGGAGGCACTCTGCCGAGCTGGGGGGCCAGAGGTCCCCTGCGTGCTCCCCAGCGGACCTGGAAGTGGACCAGGAGTGCTTCTGGTCCACTTCCGGGTCTACTGCCAAGCATGCCGGCAGCCCCCCCCACCCCTGTGCTCCCATGGGACACTCCATCTGCCCCAGAATCTCAGCATTCACAAGCCACTTGGTACCTTGGAGTATGTAAAAA